ATCTGTTTTGGTAAGGGTACCATCCCGTTTTGGTTACTGTAGCCTTGCAGTATAGTTTGAAGTCAGGTAGCATGATGCCTTCAGCTTTGTTCTTTTTACTTAGGATTGTTTTGGCTATATGGGCTCTTTTTTGGTTCAATATGAGATGTAAAGTAGATTTTTCTAATTCTGTTAAGAATATCAAGGGTAGTTTGATGGGAATAGCATTGAATCTATGAATTACTTTGGGCAGTATGGCCATTCTCATGATATTGATTCTTCCTATCCATAAGGGTGGAATGTTTTTCCATTTGTTTGTGTCCTCTCTTATTTCCTTGAGCAGTGGTTTATAGTTCTCCTTGAAGAGGTCCTTCACATACCTTGTTACTGTATTCCTAGGTATTTTATTCTCTTTGTAGCAATTGTGAATGGCTTTTCATTCATGATTTGGCTCTCTGCTTATCTATTGTTGGTGTACAGGAATACTTGCGATTTTTGCATATTGATTTTGTATCCTGAGACTTTGTGAAAGTTGCTTATCAGCTTAAGGAGTTTTTGGGCTGAGATGATGAGGTTTTATTTTATTTTATTTTATTTATTTTTTATACTTTAAGTTCTGGAGTACATGTGCAGGTTGTACAGGATTGTCACACAGGTATACACATGCCATGGTGGTTTGCTGCACCCATCCCCCCATCACCTATATTAGGTATTTCTCCTGGTGTTATCCCTTCCCTATCTCCCCACCCCCCGCTATCCCTCCTCTAGTCCCCCAACCCTCCAACAGACCCCAGTGTGTGATGATCCCCTCCCTGTGTCCATGTGTTCTTATTGTTCAATACCCACTTATGAATGAGAACATGCGGTGTTTGGTTTTCTGTTCTTGTGTCAGTTTGCTGAGAATGATGGTTTCCACTTCATCCACGTTCCTGCAAAGGACATAAACTCATCCTTTTTTATGGCTGCAGAGGTTTTCTAAATATAGAACCATGTAATCTGCAAACAGAGACAATTTGACTTCCTCTCTTCCTATTTGAATACCTTTTATTTCCTTCTCTTGTCTGATTTCCCTGGCCAGAACTTCCAATACTGTGTTGAATAGGAGTGGTGAGAGAGGGTGTTCTTGTCTTGTACCGGTTTTCAAAGGGAATGCTTCTTCCAGCTTTTGCCCATTCAATATGATGTTGGCTGTGAGTCTGTCTTAAATAGCTCTTATTATTTTGAGATATATTCATCAATACCTAGTTTATTGAGAGTTTTTAACATGTTGAATTTGGTCAAAGGCCTTTTCTGCATCTATTGAGATGATCATGTGGCTTTTGTCTTTGGTACTGTTTATGTGATGGATTACACTCATTGATTTGCATATTTTGAACCAACCTTGCATCCCAGGGATGAAGCTGACTTGATCATGGTGGATAAGTTTTGTGATGATCTGCTGGATTTGGTTTGCCAGTATTTTATTGAGGATTTTTACATCGGTGTTCTTCAGGGATATTGGCCTGAAGTTTTTGTTGTTGTTGCTGTGTCTCTGCAACAACCCCATCAAAAAGTGAGCAAAGGATATGAACAGACACTTCTCAAAAGAAGACATTTATGTGGCCAACAACACATGAAGAAAAGCTCAACATCACTGATCATTAGAGAAATGCAACTCAAAACCACAATGAGATACCCATCTCATGCCAGTCAGAATGGCAATTATTAACAAATCAAGAGACCATAAATGCTGGTGAGGCTGTGGAGAAATCGTAACACTTTTACACTGTTGGTGGGAGTGTAAATTAGTTCAACCATTGTGCAAGACAGTGTGGTGATTCCTCAAGGATATAGAACTAGAAATACCATTTGACCCAGCAATCCCAGTACTGGGTATATACCCAAAGGAATATAAATCATTCTACTATAAAGACACATGCACGTGTGTGTTTATTGCAGCACTATATACAATAAAAAAGACATGAAACCAACCTGAATCCCCATCAATGATAGACTGGATAAAGAAAATGTGGTACATATATGCCACGGGATACTATGCAGCCATAAAAAGGAATGAGATCATGTCCTTTGCAGGGACGTGAATCAAGGTGGGAGCCATCATCTTCAGCAAACTAACACAGGAATAGAAAACCAAACACCGTATGTTCTCAATCCTAAGTGGGAGTTGAACAATGAGAACACATGGACACAAGGAGGGAAACAACGCACACTAGAGCCTGTCGAGGGTAGGGGCAAGGGGAGGGAATCTAGATGATGGATGAATAGGTGCAGCAAATCACCATGGCACATGTATACCTATGCAACAAACCTCCACATTCTGCACATGTATCCCGGAACTTAATGTAAAATAAAAAACAAAAGAGTTTTAAGTTAGTTCACTCAGATGACTAGTCAAGTTAAAAAATTTAGCCACAAAAGAGACAAAGAAGGACATTACAAAATGGTAAAAGGATCAATGCAACAAGAAGAGCTAACGATCCTAAATATATACGCACCCAATACAGGAGCACCCAGATACATAAGGCAAGTTCTTAATGACTTACAAAGAGACTTAGACTCCCACACAATTATAGTGGGAGACTTTAAAACCCCATTGTCAATATTAGACAGATCAACCAGACAGAAAATTAACAAGGATATCCAGGACTTGAACTCAGACCTGGAACAAGCAAACCTAATAGACATTTACAGAACTCTCCACTCCAAATCCACAAAATATACATTCTTCTCATCACCACATCACACCTACTCTAAAATTGACCACATAATTGGGAGTAAATCACTCCTCAGCAAATGCAAAACAGTCTCTCAGACCATAGTGCAATCAAGTTAGAACTCAGAATTCAAAAACTAACCCAGAACCGCACAGCTTCATGGAAACTGAACAACTTGCTCTTGAATGTTGACTGGATAAACAACAAAATGAAGACAGAAATAAAGATGTTCTTCGAAACCAACGAGAATGAAGACACAACATACCAGAATCTCTGGAACACATTTAAAGCAGTCTCTAGAGGAAAATATATAGCAATAAGTGCCCACATGAGAAGAAAGGAGAGATCAAAAATTGACACCCTATCGTCAAAACTGAAAGAGCTAGAGGAACAAAATCAAAAAACCTCAAAGTCTAGCAGAAGACAAGAAATAGCTAAGATCAGAACAGAACTGAAGGAGATAGAGACACAAAACACCCTTCAAAAAATCAATAAATCCAAGAGCTGGTTTTTTGAAAAGATCAACAAAATAGACAGACCACTAGCCAGATTAATAAAAAAGAAAAGAGAGAATAACCAAATTGATGCAATAAAAAACGATAAAGGGGATATCACCACAGATTCCACAGAAATTCAAACTATCATCAGAGATTATTACAATCAACTCTATGCACATACACTAATAAACCTGGAAGAAATGGATAAATTCCTGGACACTTGCCTCCTCCCAAGCCTAAACCAGGAAGAAGCTGAAACCCTGAACAGACCCATAACAAGGTCTGAAGTTGACGCAGCAATTAAGAGCTTACCACCCAAAAAAAGCCCAGGTCCAGACGGATTCACAGCTGAATTCTACCAGACATACAAAGAGGAGCTGGTACCATTTCTTCTGAAACTAATCTAAACAATACAAAAAGAGGGAATTCTTCCCAAATCATTTTATGAGACCAGCATCATCCTGATACCAAAACCCGGCAGAGACTCAACAAGAAAAGAAAACTTCAGGCCAATATCCATGATGAACAAACATGCAAAAATCTTCAATAAAATACTGACTAGCTGATTGCAACAGCGCATCAAAAAGCTTATCCACCATGATCAAGTAGGCTTCATCCCGGGGATACAAGGCTGGTTCCACATACGCAAGTCTATAAACGTAATTCACCACATAAACAGAACCAAAGACAAAAACCACATGATTATCTCAATTGATGCAGAGAAGGCCTTTGACAAAATTCAACAGCCCTTTATGCTAAAAACCCTCAATAAGCTAGGTATCGACGGAACGTATCTCAAAATAATAAAAGCTATTTACGACAAACCAACAGCCAATATCATACTGAATGGGCAAAAACTGGAAGCATTCCCCTTGAAATGTGGCACTAGACAAGGATGCCCTCTCTCACCACTCCTATACGATATAGTACTAGAAGTTCTAGCCAGAGCAATCAGGCAAGAAAAAGAAATAAAGGGCATTCAAATAGGAAAGGAGGAAGTCAAATTGTCTCTATTTGCAGACGACATGATTGTATATCTAGAAGACCCCATCATCTCAGCCCCAAATCTCCTGAAACTGATAAGGAAGTTCAGAAAAGTCTCAGGATACAAAATCAATGTGCAAAAATCACATGCATTCCTATACACCAATAACAGACTTAAAGAGAGCCAAATCAAGAAAAAACTTCCATTCACAATTGCCACAAAGAGAATAAAATACCTAGCAATACAACTAACAAGGAACGTAAAGGATCGCTTCAAGGAGAACTACAAGCCACTGTTCAATGAAATAAGAGAGGACACAAACAGATGGAGAAACATTCCATGTTCATGGTTAGGAAGAATCAATATCGTGAAAATGGCCATACTGCCCAAAGTAATTTACAGATTCAATGCTATCCCCATCAAGCTACCAATGACCTTCTTCACAGAACTGGAAAAAACCACCTTAAACTTCATATGGAAGCAAAAGAGAGCCCACATAGCCAAGTCAATTCTAAGCAAAAAGAACAAAGCAGGAGGCATCACACTACTGGACTTCAAACTATACTACAAGACAACAGTAATCAAAACAACATGGTACTGGTACCAAAACAGAAATATAGACCAATGGAACAGAACAGAGGTCTCAGAGGCAACACAACATATCTACGATCATCTGATCTTTGCAAACCAGACAAAAATAAGCAATGGGGAAAGGATTCCCTGTTTAATAAATGGTGCTGGGAAAACTGGCTAGCCATGTGCAGAAAGCAGAAACTGGACCCCCTCCTGACACCTTACACTAAAATTAAATCCAGATGGATTAAAGACTTAACCATAAGACCTAACACCATAAAAACCCTAGAAGAAAATCTAGGCAAAACCATTCAGGACATAGGTGTAGGCAAGGACTTCATGACCAAAACACCAAAAGCATTGACAACAAAAGCCAAAATAGACAAATGGGACCTAATCAAACTCCACAGCTTCTGCACAGCAAAAGAAACAGTCATTAGAGTGAATCGGCAACCAACAGAATGGGCAAAAATTTTTGCTGTTTACCCATCTGGCAAAGGGCTGATATCCAGAATTTACAAAGAACTAAAACAGATCTACAAGAAAAAAACTAACAAGCCCATTCAAAAGTGGGCAAAGGATATGAACAGATACTTTACAAAAGAAGACATTCCTGAGGCCAAGAAACATATGAAAAAATGCTCATCATCACTGGTCATCAGAGAAATGCAAATCAAACTACATTGAGATACCATCTCACGCCAGTTAGAATGGCAATCATTAAAAAATCTGGAGAAAATAGATGCTGGAGAGGATGTGGAGAAATAGGAACACTTTTACACTGTTGGTGGGAGTGTAAATTAGTTCAACCATTGTGGAAGACAGTGTGGCGATTCCTCAAGGACCTAGAAATAGAACTTCCATTTGACCCAGCAATCCCCTTACTGGGTATATATCCAAAGGATTACAAATCGTTCTACTATAAGGACACATGCACACGAATGTTCATTGCAGCACAGTTTACGATAGCAAAGACCTGGAACCAACCCAAATGCCCATCCATGATAGACTGGACAGGGAAAATGTGGCACATATACACCATGAAATATTATGCAGTCATCAAAAACGATGAGTTTGGGTCCTTTGTAGGGACATGGATGAACCTGGAAACCATCATTCTCAGCAAACTGACAGAAGAGCAGAAGACCAAACACCGCATGTTCTCACTCATAGGCGGGTGTTGAACAATGAGAACACATGGACACAGGGAGGGGAGCACTACTCACTGGGGTCAGTTGGGGGGTAATAGGGGAGGGACGGTGGGGGGTGGGGAGCTGGGGAGAGATAGCAAGGGGAGAGATGCCAGATGTAGGTGATGGGGAGGAAGGCAGCAAATCACACTGCCACGTGTGTACCTGTGCAACAATCTTGCATTTTCTTCACATGTACCCCAAAATCTAAAATGCAATGAAATAAATAAATGGGGGAAAAAAAAGAACCCTCTTGAGAAAAAAAAAATGTAGCCAAACTATTTGTTTGACTGAGTTGTCTGTTTGACTAGGTTAATTGGCAGGAGTTTTAAAGTTACTGAGGGCATGTCTTGATATTTTAGGGCTTTGTGTTTAAACCACTATTTGAGATCCTTGAGAGGTTACAAGACATGGATGATAGACAAAAGGTCCAATATGCATCTAAAATGAATTCCTGATGGAGATGCTGGAGAGAATGGGGGAGAGCTAATTTTTAAAGAGATAGTGAAAATTTTTTTTTCAGAATTGATGAATGATGTGAGTCTCGAAATTCAAAAAGCATGACTCCTAAGGAGAATGAGTGAAAATAAATCTGCTTCTATATATATCATAATAAAATTGCAAAGCACCAAAACCAAAGAAAAGCTCTTAAAATTAACTTGCTCAAGATCATAAAGCTAATTAGTAGTGAAGCCAGTATTCAAACCCAGGGGGTGTTTTTTTTTTTGATAGAGTCTTGCTCTGTCGGCAGGCTGGAGTGTAGTGGCACAATCTCAGCTCACTGCAGCCTCTGCCTCCTGGGTTCAAGTGATTCTTCCACCTCAGCTTCCTGAGTAGCTGGGACCACAGGTGTGTGCCACCATGCCTGGGTAATTTTTGTATTTCCAGTAGAGGTGGGGTTTCACCATGTTGGCCAGGACGGTCTCGATCTCTTGACCTCGTGATCGCCCACCTCAGCCTCCCAAAGTGCTGGGATTACAGGCGTGAGCCAGCATGCCTGGCCACCAAACCAGTGTTTTTAACCACTGCTAGTACGAGATAATCTAGTTACAAGCTCTCATTTACAGATGATGTAATTGAGGCTAAGAGATGACAGAGATTTGTTTTTGGAGTAGTATTTGTTTTTGGTAGTAGGTCTTGAAGTTATACTGGTTTCTTCACCTTAGATTTAGGAAAATCTCCATTGTGAGTGGTAAGAGGAGCCATGCTGTACCTTGGAAGCAGTAATTCAAGGATTGTGGACTGTTGTTTCCAGAATGATCAGCAGATATTGCAGAACATAGCTAACAAAACTATCCAACACTTATGTAATGCTTACCATGTGACCTTAACCTGGTTAATTTTCATGTCAACTCAATGAGTTAGATAATGTTTTTATCACAATCTTTTAAATGGGAAAGTAAGGCTCTCAGAGGAGGAAAGTAATTTGCCACAGTCACAAAGCCAGTAAGCAGAAGAGCCAGGATTTACACCCTAGGCAGCCTGGCTGCTGAGTGTTTAACCTCTACATTATACTTCTGCTAGTGCAAAAAAAAATAAACCCCGTGAAGTTGGAAACTGTGTCTGTCTTGTTCACTGCTGTATCCCTAGGACCCAGTATAATGCTTGGCACATAATAATAAATACTTATTACATTAATGAAGTAATAAATAAGTGAATAAATTTGATTTGTGATGCATATTCACTGTGGCTGTATAGACTGAACTGTTCCATTACCAGCTAGCTACTTAGTAATAGTGAAATTTCTTGCAAATGGGACCAATTTGTTTCTATAGATGCCAAGGACCTGGGCAATTAGAGTTGTGCCTAACTACTCTTTGCTCACATCATCAGTTTTACTCTGCAGCCATGGTGATGTACTAAAGTGAATCTCCTGGTTCTGAGTCCCAGCTGAACCCTATAAGCCACCTGCTGACTTGTGATTGTTTGGGGCCTGAGGCAACAGGACTGTGGGTGGAGAGAGTCCCAGTTATGATTTAAAAATATGTATCGGTACCACAAAGTCAACATTAGGCAGCTGGAAACGATTCACATCCTCTGTATTCTCTGTAGGGGAAGGGAGACTGACTGATCATGTGATCACAGTGATACAGATTATTAGCAGGATGAAATAATGTGCTTAAAACATAAAAGCTTCTGAGGGGCAATGGGAAGCCATCCGTCTTTTAAGCTCCGAGACCAAACTCAAGGATAGTGTTTAGGTCTCTTGTGTGTTACAGTTTCATTTTACTCTTAATTTAAACCAGATTTCTATTAAAACAGACTCCTAATAAAGCTTAGCAGCCTAAGTTGGCAATCACTCTCTTAAAAATGAAATCCCTCTGTCTCCACTCTAGGGCCCTTATGTGGCATTATACAGATTTTAAAGTTTAAAGAGACTAAGTTTCCATTGAAAAGATGGCAGAGATTTACTTGTCTATCTTAGTCCTCAGAATACATAGCAATATTTACAATGGAATCACTGATATCCTCAGTTTGATGATGCAACTTGGTAGAACTAATGTGTCATTCACTGTTTAATATGATTATATTTATTCAGGAACTTTGATGTGAGCACTAAAACTGATGGGTTTCTTCAGTAAAGTAATTAGTGAAAGGCTAATTTAATAATGTAACTGACTTTGTCAATCACCTGTACACTGAACAACCAGTTATTATTTTTTTTAATTATTTGCCCCAACCGGCTGTTTTGGAACTCTGTAGTTATGTTCCCAATAAAACCAGTCTACAAGTTGGTCAAACCAGTTGCATAGATAGTGCAAACATCTGAATGACTATAGGCATGACTTTCCAAAAACACTGCCATTCTGTTGTCCTCTCTTGTCTGGAAATAGAAAGATTTGGCCATTCAATCATGACAAAAAAGATAATGAAAGTGTAAATTATTAGCAGAATGTTGTCAACACATACTATTTTCCTCACTAAAATGTGGATATCTGTCAAGGGAGTTGTTACCTGAGAAATCATGATATGGGAGGCAAATTGGTAATAATACACTCATCTTTTTCTAAATTAGAAGACTTCAACTAGGCTTGAACATCATTAGTAAATGCTCCTTGTCCTCTGAATAAACCCTTTAATTTACATCCATCATTAAACATTTCCTAAGACAAAAGCTGGTGATCTTTTGATTTCAGGCACTATTCTCATTGATAATTGTCATTAACTGAGTAGAGCTGGATCTATTCTCTTTTCTTTGTATTTCTTTTGCCAGAATATGAGTATTCTGCTTTCTTAGGTATATAACTAAAAGATGGATAAATCAAAGAGGTAGAAGAATTATCTTTGATTGAAGGAGGTACTATAAATATATGTCTAGACGCCCCCTTTTTAACTTTCATCTCTGCTTCATTAATACATTTATTAATGAGGGCCCTGTTCACATATCTATTATCAGTTCTAATTATTTGCGTGTTTGAATCAAGCTCTCCTGCTTTCATTAGTGTCATTAATGTCTGTCACCAAATGATGATGTGGGAGAATCTCACAAATTTATATGCATTCCCAGAGTGGAGACCCAACCACAGTCAGTATTCTTGCATGACAGCAGCTGTAACAAATGGCCATCTTTCCTAGGAGAAGTGTAAACAGGTCGCTAATTAATGCATTTACCATTAGACTCTGTTTAGTTTTCAGTCATAGCATATCATTCATTATGTTGGGACACCAAGTACAATATCGTTATGGAAACGAGGTATTTGTACATTCTCCTTAGATCCACGTGACAGATTGAGTTACCTACCTATTTTTCTCTCAGCATTTTCACAGATATCAGAGAGTATATGAATTACCTTGGAGAAGGTCCTACTTTATTACCAGGCTTCTAGTGTAAATGGCATAACAGGTTGGCAGTTTATTTAAATACATGTAATAAAAATCAGCTCTTGGTGAGGGATAAAGTTGGGGGGGAAATAAGAGGATTAAGAGGAAAAAGGGAAAATAAATTCTAAATTTTGGGAGCTGGGCTATAATGTCAGGAAATTTAAATCAAAATTAGAAGTGGAGTAGTACAATGAGAAGTTCATTGCTGCCAAAAGACTGAAAAGTAGACGTTGGCAGTCAAGCTCCTTCCTTTATATCCACAAAATGATCAACAGCTCTCAAAGAAAGATACAGTTGGGACAACCTTTTTTTTCTTCCAGCTGGTAATTATAAATTCCCCAAATCCTTAGATAAAAGCTTCAAATAAAGAATAGGGGGATCAGTGAAGCCTAGTCATGCCTTATTTGTTAGCAATATATATTATGTTATATGTTGATGATAAATAGCAGTTCTTATTGTAGCTCATTCATTCATTTACTTAATAAATACTTACGAGTAACACTGAGATGTTTGGGATATAGAGATGAAAATAGTACAGACATACCCTTCAAGAAACTTAGGAGATAGTCAAACTGACAATACACTGTGGTTATCATAAGTAACATAAGTGCTATCATAATTGTATGCCCAGGATGCTATGGAAGTTTAAATAAAGGATGAATTCTTTATGGCAAGCGTAGGGAGGGTTTCACAGAAGAGGTAACATTTAAATTGAGTCTCAAAGGAAAAGTAGGAGTTTTTAGAAGAGGAAGGGAGGGGACTTGTATATCAGTTGAGGAAATAGAATGTGCAAAGGTAAAAGCACAATAATCAATGTGCTATATTTACAGAATGGTAACAAATTAATGGTGGCTGGAACGTTGTTTGCATAGGGGATAGACTATCAGAAGGAGCAATAAGAGATGGTTGTATGAGAAGTTGATGAGGGCCAAACAGAGTAGAGTGTTATGTGTTATGCTGAGAGGGTTTGTACTATCTTATGAAGGAAGTAAAGACTTCATAGAAGCATGACACAGCCAGGTTGCTCGCTCTTTCTTTCTTTCTTTCTTTCTTTCTTTCTTTCTTTCTTTCTTTCTTTCTTTCTTTCTTTCTTTCTTTCTTTCTTTCTTTCTTTCTTTTTCTTTCTTTCTTTCTTTCTTCTTTTCTTCTTTTCCTTCCTTCCTTCCTTCCTTCCTTCCTTCCTTCCTTCCTTCCTTC